TCTAGTTGAAGGTGTCAACTCTACTCTGTGTGCCTCTTTCTTGCAGATGCCTGAAAACACTGTAAAATACAGTGTTTTTGTTGTTGTGTACCTTCTATATGACAGCAAATGTCTGATTCTTTGAGGCTTGAAAGGCAGCAAGAGCGAAAACGGATTCCGTTTTCAGATTCGAGCCTGACTTTGATTGAATCACTGGTTTTTACAGTGGTTTTGAGTACACCAGGAAAAAACATTGAAAAAATGATGTTTTTGGCAGCTTTGAGCTCTGCAACCTGCACAGACCCAAAAGCACAAAATCTCCTGAAAATGAAAGCTCTGAGACCTGCACATGCCAAACGCATCTCCAGACCAAGTTTGGGAGTCTGGGGATATGTGCCCTTTATTTGTTTAGCCACATTTAAGCTAAATCATATTTGGGAATGAGTTACTATTAAAATGTGTTTGCAAAGGCCAAGTGATTTCTTTCCAGAATAAGCTATATTCCAATTCAAGTTGTATTTGGGGATGGATTATTGATTAAATTATTATGTTCAAAAGCTAATTGAATTCTGTCTGCATTAAAGTATATTTGGATTCTACTGCAATGATATTTTCCTTATTTGGAAAGGTATTCCTGTTCAAATTCTGATCTAATATAGACATTATGGTGAATTATGAATGGTGTTGAACTATGTGTTTCCTAGAATCTATTCAATGCGCAAATTCAATTCGGAACAAAATCGTATTTGGAAAGGAATGTGTACTTGGATATGTTGGACTCCAGGCTCCAAATTATGAGGCTTGGAGAATCCAACATTAGACATTTCGAGGATTCTGATCTCCAGATTCTAGGTTTCAGGTTTCAAATTGGACGTGTCAAGGGATTAGAGATCCAACAAAATGCTGTAAAACACAGTGTTTTGCAGCAGTTGCTCAGATTGTGTTCCCTTGGACCGAAGATTGTTTTCCCCAAACAACAGTTTTCCCTTCAACATTCCAATTCAATTCGCAGTATTTGGAAAGGAATCTATACTTAAAAATGTTGGAGGACTCCCAGCTCCAAAATATGAGGCTTGGAGAATCCAACATTAGACATCTCGAGGATTCTGATCTCCAGATTCTAGGTTTCAGGTGCTTCACCATGGACATTTCAAGGGATTGCAGGTCCAACAAAAAACTGTAAGACAAAGTGTTTTGAAGAAATTGCTCAGATTGTGTTCCCTTGGGCCGAAGATTGTTCATTTCCCAAACAACATTTTGCCCCCTTCAACATTCCAATTCCATTCGGAGTAAAATCCTTTTTGGAAAGGAATTCATGTTGGAGTACTCCAGGCTCCAAATTATGAGGCTTGGAGAATCCAACATCTCGAGGATTCCGATCTCCAGATTCTAGGTTTCAGGTGTTTCAAATTGGACATTTCAAGGGATTAGAGATCCAACAAAATGCTGTAAAACACAGTGTTTTGCAGCAGTTGCTCAGATTGTGTTCCCTTGGACCGAATGGACAGCCTTTGATATAACAGTGCAGCAGTGATGACACACACACACACAATCATCAACCTTTTAGGACCACATGCCCAAACCACATCAAACAAGGCCTCAAATGAGTGTCCGTTTTTCCCCAAACAACAGTCTCCACTTGCTACGCAATAAGCCTACAGAAGGTTTATAAACTTTCAGGAAAGTTTATAAACCTTATTGAGTGTTTGACGAGTTTCCCGCATCAAGGCAACAACACCCTACGAAGTGTTCATGGTATCGTTGAAGGAGGGGGGGGGGGTGGTTGGAAATTTTGGGAGGGGGGGGGGGGGTGGTTGGTTGGAAGTCTTAGCAGTGAGGTGTGACTCAGCCAACTTTGTAAAGACTTCTCAGTACCCCCCCCCCCCTCCCCCCCCTGCCCTTGTTGCAAGGAAACCGTCAAACCCTTGACATGGTTTATAAACTGTCTTGAAAGTTTATAAACTCTTTGCTGTTGTTACTCAACATGACTTGTCACCCACAAAAAAATATGCAGCAACAGCACACTTTTTGCGTATATATGCTCACACCCCCTGTCCTACATTTTGAAGTGGAAAGGTAGGCCCTGGGGGGGGGGGGGTGGGGGGGGGTGAGCATATATATATATATATATATATATTATATATATATAGTTGATTGACCGTTTGCGCAACCCATTGCGGGAATCCTTCACCTGAAGTCGCTCGGCTCAGCCACACCTGCCTCGCTTCAGTCTCGGAACATGTTCAATGGACACCTATTGAAATCGTTAAGGGGGTCTTCCCACAACCGGGCTCAGAATCAAAAGGGCGGGATCCCGTCGCGGGGAGTGTTGACTAGACTTCTAGGTTGTGATTGAGGCTCACTCATCATGGCGCAAGGGTCATTCTATTTCCCCCGACCTCAAGCAATGTATGAAACTGGCCCAGAGCCACGTGGCTCGCATACGGCTAATGACTTCTAAGAGGGAACCACCTCAAAAGTGGCCGGTGGACATAAGTCCCCACCCAAATCATGTCCAGCAAAGCCCCCTGGATGACCCATTATAATTTCACGCCATGGGCATTTCTCTGCTTGCTTTCCCTTTCACTACCAGCCTGAGGCATAGTCGGAACCTTATAAAGATCGACAAGGCGGGATATCTGCACCCATTTCTGGCAAGGGGATTGTCCCTTACCCTCCAATTACCCGGGTTTTGATTGTGACTCACCTGAAAAGGATGCCTTTCGCCGTCGAACGAGACACCCGCCCTTCTCCGTGCCAAAGCCGGGCCTCATGGAGCTTGCCGTTGCCCTGCGGCCGCCTCACGGGTCAAATGTTCAGGTTCTGGTCCATATAGATCTGTCCGTCTTTGGGGGTACCCCTTTCTTGGTGGTTTGAAGGGGAAACCAAAAGCAGAAAGCCGGAGCCAGTTTGGGGCCCCCCAAAGAAAGTCACAGGAAAAATCACAAAGGAGACCCCAGGTTGCAGCCAAGCGCCATTTATTTCTTCTGCGCCTTTTTTTTCTGCGGGAACCGTCTACCCCTCGTTTCGGGGGGTTTCACTAAGCCAAAGTTGGAATCTGCAACCTGAGATCCGAGGCTCGGGCCTTCTGGGAGGCCTAGGCATCCAGCCGGTCCGGGTGCAAAACATGCGGCTGGAGGTTCTGCTTTGGAAGGACCAAGGGCGATTTGTTCTTGCCAGCAGGGTCCCTATTTTAGAAAACCGCCCAAATGAACATGAGCGTGTCCATCTGAGGACCCTCTAGAGATGGCAGATGTCCTTTTGTATATACAATATATATATATATATATATATATATATACACATATACATACACCTGCCAGTGTGCGAATTCGATGAAAAATAAGGCGAAGTCCATGTTGCTTCAAGTCATCTCAAAATGCTCACGTATGTGGGTACGGTTGCATCCTCCTTTCTTGTGTGGTCGTCTTTGAAAGAAAAGCCGTGCGAATCATATCATGTCACATCAATTACCATGTCTCCGCAAGAGTGTTGCCTGAAATTGAGGTCTCATTTGCCCTTGAGTTTTCTGATCAAAGGATGTCAAGAAGGCAAAACAATGGGCGTGGTAGAGACGCGAAAATAAGCGCGACTGTAGCAAAGGTTGTGGAACTGAGAACCTGTTTGAACAACGCGTCCGTTTGATCACATTAACAAAGATTGATCTCGAAGGGATCTGCCCAAAACTATGTAAAGAATCAAAAGGCCGGCTTTCCACACCCACTCGTGGCTGGTTTTTTTTGTTTTTACAAACCTTCACTTCAGGTTTAGTTGTACTGCTCTTGTCAACTAGGCTTTCATAGCGGGTCAGCTTTGGGTCCCCACCCCTTTCTTTCCAGGGCCCCAGCGAGCGCGGAGAGGGCATCGGGCTCTCTAGTGCCACGGACTTGACTCGGGTTCAAAAGGTCCTTGGATCACCCTTGACCCAAAACCATGACTTCCACCACTCAAAGGGAAGAGTTAGTTACCCATGGTCATTTTGAAAAGAATATTGATCAAAGCCCCACTTGTGAAATGGCATTTCCGACCGATGTGACTTCTGCATTTTGGCACATTCCATCCTCACACGCCGGCAGAGGGGAACTGACCCCCGAATCGAGCGCTCGAGTTTTCCCGGAAGCGCTTGAGCAAGCCGCGGAAGAGCTGCCGCTGGTCTTCCCCCAGAATCTTGTGAAACCCACCAAGAAAGGACCACTCACCTTGCCCTACCTAGGTTTATCTCAAAAACGCAGAACCCAAAAAAATGGTTGGTTTCTTCTTGGCTTCCCTTGAGAACTAACCAAAAGGAGAGCGTTGCTGGATCGGTGTGTAGGTGTTGTGGGGTGTCCAATTTCAACTACCAAGCTCCTCTCTTCGGTAAGAATATACATGTCTCCCACGATTGCTAGTCCTTCGAAACATAACTTGTCTGTGGTTCTCCCCGCTCAAGTTTATGACTTGCACGTATGACTCCCTCCAGAGCCTTGATGTCTCAAACAAAATAGTGTTTGTCTATTGCCAGTCCCTCAGTTAAAGGAGGTGTGAAGTAAAATCAGAGCGCTCCTTGTCATATTCATCTTTAGCAATACACTAGAATGAGAGACTTCATCTAATATCCGCTCAACGGTCATTGTGTCAAGACCAAGCCAAGCCGCTAGATTAAATCCTGACACCTTGCGGGTGGCCAAAACGGGCAAAGGAGGGGACCATCCCCAAAGCTGGATTAGGGGTTCTACTATCTTTCTCACGTGAATTTCGCGTGCGGGTTTCCTGCGGGTTGTCCTGCTACAGGGACTTGCTTTCCACAAGCTTGGACCCTTCACACACACGCAGAGCGTCCCATGGCAACACACCCCTGAGACCCCCACGTTGGAGAGTTTGAAAGGAAGCTAACGGAAGCCAACTGAACAAACCTTCACAGCAGCGAAGATCAGAAGATCTGACCCCTTCGTTTACTCAGCGCCTTCCAAAAACTCGATGTTCGCTCTCCATGGCTTGGCCCCTGGCAAGGTCGAACGAACGATCCGATGTGATCGGTGCGCCTTGGTGGACTTCACGCCTCGGAACAATGGGCAAAGGGCGGCGCCCGTGTTTTTTCCTGGGCAGTTGTTGTTTTTTTTGAGGTGGGGGGGAGGGTGGGGGGGGGGGGCCAGTTGATCTTTGAAGAGGAAGCCCCTCCAAACACTTAAAAGAAGCAAGCAAGAGGTGGCACAGGATTGGAGGTGAGCCTGGGACATGGCCTATAATACCATCGGTTTGGATGGGCCCAATCTAAAAAAACACGAACCCCACAGCGAGTTGACCTGAGGAGATGTACTCTTCGACCCTATTTTAACCTAAGTCGCGAGTTCACCTCCACAGATGCACACCCCGACCCCCGACCCCGACGCACTCCGAGGGCCCTCACTGTCATCCTGCTTCTTGGACTTGGCGGCCAACTTCCTCTCCTGAACCGTGCATGTTTGGATTGACCGAATATTAATCAGAATCTAAACTAGGTGCTCCAGTTTTGCGAGGTTAGAATAAGTTGGTACCAACTTTTTTCTGTGGACTATTTTGGTAGGGGAACCCTCCGCCAAGAAAGGGTTAAAGGGCACGACTGGGGGATGTCAGATGTAAGCTCCATCAGGATGGCGTCGGTTTACCTCACTGCCTTAGGTCCATGTCCAATCAAAAAACTCGCAAGTGGTCTTCAGAGGTTCGGAGCGACCCGTCTTGAAAGAGGGACTTCGGGGGGGGGGGGGGAGGGACGCCCACCCATTGTCCACATACCAAGAACCTCCACCAGTTTGTGCTACCCTCGCCCAGCCTGAGCATTAGAACCCTTGCTCAAAAGAAGACCCCTGCCGCTCGCAGCTTCGGGCGAGAGGATTAAATTACGGGACCCGTGTGCGTCTCTCGTTGCAGCTCGGCATTCTTCGCCAGGCTTACCCTTCTGTTGGCAAGTCAATGTTTGAAAACACTCATGATTGGAGATCCCCGCTATCAAATTTATGTTTTTTCCTTTCTTATTTGCCGGGGGGGGCCTCTGATGTTGATCTACACCGGCATGTGGTGATTGGGGTCATTGTGTTCACTGTTTCTGGGCGTCATCAAAGTCAAGACTGTGTTTGTTTCCCTGGACCTGCTAGGAGGACTGTGGTCTTCCAACCCCCACGATAATTATACCGCCTACGATCTTGACTTACTTTTTAATCCAAACGGTCGTTCACATCGTTGCCGGTCGCTTGATGCAAGGGGCGTTTCGTTGGATTTTGTGGTAAGCAAAAAGAGTTTGAAGGAAAGGACGAGAGGAAGCAATCGGAAGACTGGCCCAGTCCATCGCCAAGTGATTTGAAGTTCCCCACCACCTCAGTCTACTTGATTCTACTTGTTTGGGCCTCCCAAATATGGAACCTGAAAGGGACCCCCTGGAAGGTCAGTCTCGGGACCCTCTTTCAGGTCCCATCTTTGCTTTTGGCAGGGGAAGTGCCCAAAAGAAGATAAAGAAGAATTGGATCCTCAAGTAAAGGGATCTACATCTGCAGTAAAGGGATCTACATCTGCTCCCTTACCCTTCGAACCGGTGGAATCGCTCGAAATCCATGAGTCAAAAAGGGCAGGTGTCCAAAACATGGCGCGGTTTTCCTCCTAAAAACCCGGGGGGGTGCCCCCAAAACGACCCGCATCCGTCGCCGCGGGTCACCTTCCGCTTCCGCTTCCCCGACCAACGACTCGAGCCGACTCGAGTTGCGCCTTGGCCGCCTTGGCCGCCGCCTCGGGCCGAAAGATGGGGCGCTTCTCGGCGTCTTGCTCGTGCAGAACCTCAAAAAGCGCCGGAAAGGAGAGACACGCAAATCCCGTGGTTCTGGGGGTCGATTTCTTGGTCGAACTCACAAATGATTGGTGGAGTTCAGTGGTAATTGTTCTAGGGGTTGATTCCCATTCTTTTCGATCATCGTTCTTTTCAAAAACCAGCCATGTCCGCAAGGGTTTTGGAGATTTTCCAGAAAGAAGGATCCCTGGAAAGAATGGGGAAGCTACCCCTAGAATGGTGCGGGAAACCCATCACTGCCAAATACCGGAAATTCCAGAGAGAAAATGCCATGGGAATCCATCTATTTGTAAATGGTTTTCTCACCCACCAGTGGAACTCAAGTTCGGATCCTGCGCATGCATTCGGGCCAATTTGGCCAAACAAACACGCAGGTGATGAGCTTCAAGTCCGAAGCTACAGGGAACCTCCTGCAAGCACCAAAGGGGGAAATTCGGAGGAGAGTCTTGTTCCCCCCCCCCCCCAAACCCCCCAAACCCTCCAGGTTGCGGAACCCCCCACTTTGGGAAGCCTGAACTGCAGTTGTCCACCTACCATCGCCCGGCTAGGACGTCGGCAGCAGAGCTGCTGAAGTGCTTCACCAGATCCTGGCGACGCTCGGCTTCGCTGGGTACGTTTCTCGTGGTCCCATGGTTTGGGTCCCCGTACCAAAACGAGCGCACCATTTTGAGAGGCACTCAAAGAAAACCAGAAAAATTGGGCCGGAAAGTCTGGCCTCTAGCGGGTGTTTAGGAATTCCTGAAGCTTGTTTCTATGGCACAAGCAACCAAAGGGGTCTCTATGTAGGCAAAAACTGTTGGCTCCCTTTTGGTTATCCTGTTGGCATGAGAGTCATTGCACAGAATCATCATGAGAGTCATTGCACAGAGTCATCATGAGAGTCATTTGCGTTGTAGTCACTGTTTTGCGTGGGCGGTATATGTGTCATCTTTGACGTGCTTGGCAAACTCGTGTGAGGGGGGGTCCGATAGGTGGCAAGATAGCAGGAACAAGGTTAGTTGCTGGGACTTGTCGTTGTGTCTTGCTCGT